GAAATTTGAAAAATCAATCGTTAAATAAGTGGAGAAAAACAGTCACAGAGAATAATTTGATTTAGAAATATAAAGTAGCAAAGATCAAGAATTGATCTGTCATAATGTAGACTAATTATTTGTTCTGCAGAAGAGTATCAATTAGTCAAATGTGTATGATCACTAATTGTCAAATAAATAATATATTTACATTATGATCAGACAATAAACATTTTAACACAGTTAGTTTTATAAGAAATGAATTCTGAAAATCTTTTTCTTTGGTGGTAGATATGAAACAAAGCATTTTTGTTTTATTTCAGGTTAAATTTGTATTCATATCAGCCAAAGATGGAGATAGATTCACGTAATTGTGGTAATTTCTACGAGGAAATGAAAAGATCGTTTCCATTAGTGATCAAAGGAACGAAATGGTCAAGCCTAGGACGTAATTCTGCTCACGATTGTAACTTAAGCTTGCAATCACAGGGATTTTTCTTGCATTCTTCTTGGACTTAATAGCTAGAATGATACTTTTGAAAGAGGCTATCGCCTCAGATCGTATAATGATATAATCGATTATCAAGATCTACATCTTTAGATTTACTTTTAGAAACGTGGATCAATAAATTCTTTCGACTCCAAAATTTAATCTATTTTAATCGATTGATGTTATTAGATTCAATAGTGCAACTTATTTGTTAATCTTGGATACAAATTGTTAATCATATCTTCCATTTGGAAACTGATTGAAAAAATTTAATTATATTATCATTTCATCACATTAGTAGATTCGTATATTAATTTTGAATTTAAAAGTAGATTTAATATATCAATTTAACGTATCTCCAATATTTCAATCGTCTAAAAAAAAGAAAAAAAAAACATACAAAGATTAATCTAATAATGTCATTATGATATACGATATTTCAAATACTACGATATTCTTTGCTATATAAAGATGACACTAATGTGATGAAGAGAACTTTATCTGAACAATCGACACGTGTTGGAACGTAGGAAATGTGAAGTATTTCTCCAGGAATGTGAGACAGAGATTAAAGATCTTTCTCTCTCTGACTATCTGCGAGAAATAAAAGAATTTCATAAGAGGATTATTTCAAAAGGAAAGTCGTAATTTTTTGTTGACGAGGTTTAGAATCGATAGATCAGGTTAAGCTTAGATTAATTTCTTTTTTTTTCAAGCAATTTATTGATCAACATGATAAATTCATACCTTTTATTCGAAACATACATCTTTTATTCGAAGAAAAAAGTATTTTCTAATTTATAGAGTTAAAAAGTTGTAGTTCATTATTAACAAAAATAATGATTAATGTATATTGTTAATAACTTCTAGGATAAGTTCAGAAGATTATGAAATAATAAGATTAAAACATGTTGCAATGTAAATTTTAATATATCTTCTATGATATGATTTTTAATTTTAAACTTTTGGTTTTTATAATTTTAGAATTTATTGATTGAAAGGATATTTTTATTTTTTTTTATGAAAATATATTATTTTGAAAATTTATTATACATTTTATTTTACCCCAAGGATACTGAGGATATCGTTAAAGCTATGATTAATGCGTTTTGAGTTAGATGTACATGAGAATCTCAGTTCTCGCTGACCTCGACTACTGAATTGCATTTAGTTTGAGCACTCCAGAGATAGCAAAGGCTGAGATAGGGGAGCTTGTTCTTAATTAAGACATTAAGGCAGGTTATTTGATAATATAGTTATATTTGCAGTTTACATATTATAGTCTTAATATACATTGATGTTAGTATTGCAATATCAATAAATTGCAATATTAAAATTTTTTTAAGAAAAATTTCACATTAGTAAAAAATTAAGTTAGTGAATATAAATATATATACATTTAATTTTTAAAAAAATTAATGATAGAAGCAATTAAATGATGTTTAAGTTAAATATAAATATTAGAATCATGTACAATATTACTAGAAAAAATTTTGGTTATTGAGAAAGTATATAAAACATATTATATTTTGTTAGATTTTCAATTTTTAATAATTAACAAAATATTTTTTATTTTTCCTTCTTATTTTAACATTATATTGAAATATAGCTATACTTTGTAGCTATTTCATTTCAAATATCCAGCATGTGAAGAAATATCTTCTCGAATCATAATCGCTTTTTCTTATTCCAGAGAATTACATTTAATCCAATGAATGCAAAATGAATGAGAGAAGAGAATGATAAATGAAGCCTTGGTTGTACTAAACGAGCTTTCATTTATATTCGTAACAAGAATTGAAACTCATCACGGACAGTTAAAAATAAATATTACACTTTAATATTAACTACATACCTCTCACAAAAATTCTTCCATTATTATAACGCAATACGTTAATCCATTTATTCAATTCAAATGATTTTATAAAATAATTGATTTTTAAATTAAAAAAACAATCCTAAATTCGATCACAATGTGAGATTTCCAAATATAATAATTCTTGTAACAATTCTTGTAACATTTTTCTCAAAAAAAAAAAGTCGCGATCAGACGTAAATTTTCATTTAAAAAAAAATCTAACATGATTAAAATAAAATCCAAATAAAAAATTTCGTATTTCGTTATTTTAATGGTATCACACAAGTGTGTACGCGATCTCGATTGAAACAAAAATGAAGTTACTCCCGCTTTCTCATCCAAGTTTCCTTGACTGAATAGAACGGGAACAATTTCTGTACCGTGCATTGATTCGAACAAGTACGATAGGGATTTCGTTAGGCACGTACCGCAAGGTGGATTCACACACGCGTGTCGCAGATTCAGAATTTCTGCGATATATCGTACACGTGCATTATGATCCCCGGATTTTTTTCCCCTCTCCTTTTTTTTTTTCATTTTTTTTTTTCTCTCTGCCTCTTCCTTTTTTGCGTGTTCTCGGTATTCCAGAATCCCAGAAACCTTTGCATTATTTATGCGCGTTCGTTTAAAACCGCGTAGCGCTGTTTATCATTTAAATGAGAAATACTAGGTGTGAAAATAAAGAGGGAGAAGAAGTAATTGTGGAGGAACGAGGGTATGGAATTTTAAATAAGAATTTTAAAAGGATGGATCGACGTTCTAATAAGATTGTTCTGCGTCTTTTCTTTCTGTACGAGAAAGATTTTCTAATAATTAGGAAATATTGGGGAATAAGTTTATCTTGAAAGGAGAAACTTTTGGAATAAATAATTTTACTTTATATATTTTTATAGTTTAATGAAGGATTTAAGGAAGCTTTGAAATTCATCATGATCATCATATTTAAAATAGCAATAGGATTAATAAATTATTTATAATTCACTAAAAAAACAATACTATTGCTTCGACTGAATTAAACTTCAATATTCGATTTCAATTTTTACAATAACTAAAATTATTTAGAGAGAAATCGTTTACAATTTATAAAAGTAATAGTATTCATGCTAATTAAATCTGGAATTTTAATTAGAAATTTATTTTAAATAATAATTTAGAAATAAATTATTTCAATTAATATTCGATACCTAATTTAATTCAAATCATGTTTTCTACCTCGTTAATTAAAGCAATTCGAATAATCGAGTTATTTAGTACTAATATTTTAGTACTCAATAAACAATTTTTGAATTTCTTTGATCCCAATATCACACTTCACTTGTCGAAAAACAAATAGCCATTATTTGAAACAAATTATTTTTAAATCGCTCGAATACATTGTAGAGTAACAACTCGTTCTTCTAGAATGCAACTCAATGTAATCTCGAAAAATCGAAAAACCACGAAATCCAACTAAATAAACTTTTCCCTTATCGGTCTGATGGTATTGCAGGGATGTAATGGTAAATGTAGGAAATGTAACGTGGCTTCGAAGTTGCGTGCACGGACAATGAGAAACGACTACTCGACTCACGGTGGAAAATTCGTTGAGCAAAGTGGCCAGTCCGGTTCGATCGCTCTTCCATCCTCATCTCGCAATCCGGCGAGAGGAGGGAGTTGCTCGATCGAGGGCAAAGTAAAGCTCGAAAGTGTATTTGCTAAACGACTTTCCAAGAATCGAACGATCCCTCCCTTCGATCCACTTTTCTTTTATCCCCGGATTTTCTCTGTCTTGGTTTTTAACGATTTCCGTCACGTTGATCGCGAAAGATTCATCCGTGCCGGTGTTTATGATATCTGTATCTTTGCTCTGCTTTCACATTTTGCATGAAATTCAAATGTCCCGCGCTGCATCAATGCTTTCTGGGAAAAATAAATACCGAGATCACGCATTTAGATATATGTATGTAGAGAGGGTATAAATTTATTTACAATTTTGTTGGTACTTTATATTTTTATTAATCTCTGTAGAAATTTTTACAAAAGAATCTTTTCAGGTTAGAAAATTTTAATTTAATTTTAATCTAAGTAGATAAAAATAGGAATGAATTGTAAGTGAAATTAAGAGGAAGCAATATGGATAAATTTTTTTTAAATTGATGAAAAGTGAACAACATATTTTTTAAAAATACGTTATGTTAGAAGAAATTATATTCGCTTCGTTATATTTTAAATTCTTAAGATAAAGATCTTTAAGATCTATTAAGATCAATTTTTTAAGTATATCTATAATTATTTATATTTCAAACATTTATAATATAAAATTAATCACAGAAATAATTGAGAAAATGATTAAGATAAATAGATCCAACATATCTAACCTAACCTATTTTTTTCTGATATATATTCTGCACTCGTTTTGCAGATTCATATATTAAAACAATACCCTTCCAACGAAACAGATACACAGTTCTCTTGTGCATAAAAAACTAGACTAACCTTGTTCTCCATGGTAGGATTTAATGACAATCTATGGAGAGCTGCATAGCTTTTCAGGTCAGAATTATCTATCTAGTTCATTCCAGGATGTATGTAAAAGTGCATAAAAATTTTTTAATGCAATTAACAAAATTTAAAACATTGAGGAAACAATGAAGTATGGAAATTTTACTAACCAAGTAATTATCTTTGTTTCAGGTTACCTCTAACATCGGTGGAGGATTGCATCTTGTGTTCGTGGTAAGTTTTATCTTAAAACATCTTTTTTTCACATATAATTATTCTTTTCCATGAATAATATCCAAATGAACATGATTAAAATATTCAAAATGTGTAGATTTATTATTACATACTATTGCTTAATTTTGGCAAATGATATCTTTATTTAAATTTTATTTCTTCAGGTACAAGTTTGAATATTTATTAGACTAAGTGTATTAGTTTATTCAGACAAGTAGTAGAGATTATTGATCATATTAATAGTGCATAAACAAAAATTTCAAACAAGTATAAATCAACGATTTTAATTTTGCCAGACACGTAATACAAACCAATAATTTTTCATCATCGTTACAAATTCGAATAAATAACACAAGTCAACAATTTATCAACAACTCTAGGAACATTATTATAATTTTCGATTAACATTAACATAATTTTCTCGAACTTATAGCAAAACCAAAGTGTAACAAAACTTACAAACATCCTCCAAGTTCGTTCGTGAATATCCATTTATATATCCAGAATATATCAGAGTTTACTTCCTTTTCGTTATAAATTTTCCTTATAAACGAACTTTCCTTTTACAACGCTGTTGATCACTCGTCGCATTTATACACCTACGACTCTAATTTACTCGAGAATAAATGTTTTCCTCCAACTATAGGCTGATGGCGTTAGAAATATCGTGAATCCTACGAGCGAACTTATGCTAATTAACCGTCGACAGTAATTAGGCGCAATTATACCTTCAGTAATTACAGTTAATATAACGAGAGATAAACAAGCAAGGTTGTTATATGCAGGTTGCAGTGAGGCGATATTTTTTTCACTCAGTTGTACATGTTATTTATTATAATTTATCTTTCAGTTTCTTCTTCTTCTTCTTACCAGTTTGTTCCTATTATTCATTATGCAAATCGTACGTATGCATCGAGTTAGATGATAAAAGGTCTCCAGTGTAACTTTATTAAACGCTTATCAGTTCATCTTAATGAACTGTTTCGAATGGCGAAACACGATAAAATGAGAAATTATACTATAGGGGGTGGAGGGTGGGGATGAGAAATATATTTAACTGGATTGTTTCTCTGACGTTTGTTATTTTTAATAACGAAAAAGAGGAAAGAAATTAACAAACTCGGCGAGTAATTAACATGTACACGAGTTGTTATGAATAAACAGAGAGATTAATATAACGAATAATATTGGATGTAAATGGGGGGGAAGAGAGAGATAGTTACAAGTTTCTGAAATATCGGTACACGTTTCTCGATTTAAGGAAAGTTTGGTAACTAGTTATAAAGATTGGTGCAAAACGTGGTTGTACGAAACATTTTAAAAGTTGTAGAAGTAATAACGATAGCGAATTAAAGTTTGCAGAGTGACGCCCTTAAAGATTATAACTATCATCATCTTGTGAAAGATGTACGTGATAAAATTGCTGGTTAAAGTTTCTTGTAAAATGTTTCGTTTAAATATAATTTTGCAATTATCGTTATTCGTTAATTGAAAACAGTTTTCATATCTTAATGAATTGTAATAAAATTCCAAAGGATAATTGTTCAAAAATTTCTGATCGCATATTTGGAAAATAAATTAATATATAAATAATAACAATTAATAAGAATCGATATTGTAAAAAATTTAATATTTTGTAATACAATTATTATTTCAATTAAAATATATGTTTCAAAAACATGAATTTAACGTAAAAGAGAAATTGCATAGGTAGATAGATTGACAATTTTTAGAACTGTTAAGCAAAAGTTGACTTACACGTTAACTCTGGGGAATTGAATTAACTGTGAAACAAAATTAAAATTGAACAAGGTTGACATATTCGGCTTGACTAAAGTTAAAGTGGCTTCTATCCTGTAACCAGGCACCTTAGGCTCGGCTCTGTGTACATTGCGTGGGTGAAGAGATGTTTACGGATCTATCTAATTATTTAGAGTTATTTGATGTTATCGTCTTTGATCACGTTAGCCGTACCACAAGATACTAAACCAACTTAAAAGGGCGATAAAGTTAATTCCCTTGTTTGAGCCATTTTAACAAGTTAAAAAAACTTGTTAAATATTTACCAAGCACACCTCTAATTGTTGAAGTTCAGGAAAATAAGATAAATTGAGAAATTATTGAAGTATTTCAAAATTATTTCTCCATTTGTAATCTTATTTTTTCCTCTATAGTCTTTTACTCTTTTAATCAATTTTCACATTCTTCTATTTCCATAAAAGAGAAATCCCTTTATTGTTAACAATTTTCCAAGTAACAGATTCCAATTATCAATACAAACTTATTAAGATTGATAACTCATATTAATTTATCATTAATGCAAGATATAGTATCAAATCCTTTTAATACACATTTTTATCGTTTCAAACATCAACACAACGCGAATATAGATTAATTTTTACCACACACGTTCGAATCAAGGGTGAGACAACTATTTGTCGAGGAAACAATGTTAATCAAAGACATTCCCTTCGATCTCTCTCTCTCTCTCTCTCTCTCTCTCCTTCTCCAAGAAACATTCGTTCCAAACGGAAAGACACTTTAGACTCGGCATATCTTCGCTTCGATCGCGTTTCAAAGAGAGGCGGAAACCGCCATCTCTCGTTACTCTGACTCAAAGTGATTCCTCCTCCTGCGTATCAGTTTACCCGGGTTCAAAGTCGTCGAAAAGCGTGCGAGTGCAAGGGGAGGCGATCGTTTCGAACGCAACCGGGAATAAAAGGCGATTAACAAGCGCAACACGGAACCTATGAGCGAGTTTTATCAAGTGCAGTACATCCGCATCTGCGGTAATGCAATTCTCTCGTTATCCAGTTCGTTCCGTTCCTTCTTCGTTCCATTGGAGCAGAGTAGAGAGTTTTTTTTTCTTTTCTTTTTTCTTTCTTTTTTTTTTTTTTTTTTTTTTATTCTAATGGAGAAAGTTGGTATTCGAATTGTAAAGGTGAGAACGAATGTGAAAACGAATCAGGTTATGGTTCTGCGACGAGGTTTAATTATAACAACGAATGAAAATGTAGTATTATCATATATGTATATAGATGATTTTATTTAAAAAAAATAGGTAGAGTGAAATATCTGTTGAGGAAAGAAGGAATTATGGAAAAAAATGTTTCTTCAGAAAAGTATATTTGGTATAAAAAGTATATATTATGATATGTAAGATATTAAGTTTTTAATTTTAATTTTTTATTATATGTTATTTTTTGCATTATGCAAATGCATTAATTGGAAGAAAGTATTGAGTTATTTATGTCGAAAAATCGGTATTTTTAAAAATATTGTAAGGTGAAGATTGAAGATATTGCGTGAAAAGCAAGGAGAGCATAAATAGTGAATATGATTCTGCGTTTTTTCCTTGTTTTTCATATAATAAGTTTATAAACTTTAAGTTATAATATAAAATATACTGATACTTCGAGATGAATAATTAATCCTGTTTGCTCTTATGTCCAGTGTGCATGAAAATTATATTATTTAAAAGCTATTTAAAAGCTTCAAAATAACTTAATATTTTTCGCAATATAATATCATAATATGTGTTATATAATGTGATATATGAGGAAATAAATGTTTTGATATAATCAAAATTTCTTTTTAAAAAAGAAAAAAAAAAGAATCATATTAATATAATAAATTCTTCATGGCATGACACTGTAATATCGATGCCATAAAAATTACATTTGTATTCTAGAAGCTATTGAAATTTATTGAATGATGTAATAAAAAATATAGAAGTTTATTTAAATTTTACAGCATTTATTCCTAGCTGCATATTCCTCAAACCATAAAAATAGATAGAATAAAAGGCATCATACGTTGAACTTCTTTACTATCGGTGAATAAACATCTTGCGTGCATTCAGTCGTCGAATTTTTCAATTTTTTTTTTCACTTCTTTTCATTTCTTAAAAGTTTCATGGTCGTTTATCCATATTCTTAAAAATATTGGCGACCATCCACTTAAAAGAAAGTTTAATTTGAATTTTTATTTTTCATTCTCGATAAAATCTTTGGCATAAAATTAAAAAAAAAATTTTTTCGAATATTAGTATTCTTTCGGAAATAAATAAATTAATTGTTTTTTATAAAAGTTGTTTTTTAAAGAAATTTTTTAATAACGTAAATTGTACAATTTAATTGAAAATAATTTTAAAAAACAAAAGGAATATTAAATTTTGAAACAAACTTCTCAAAATGATAATTTTTTAAAAAATAATTTCTATCAAATCTAAAAAGAGAGAAAATTTAAAAGATAGACTTTCGTTAAGAACTCTATTTTTTAAATATTTAACTATGATTACGATGAATAAATAATCCAAATGTTGTTAATAAATCTGGTCAATGAAAATTGTTTCAATTTTTATTATTAGCACAATTATTATTATAATTGTAACAATATGATACAAGTAGATTTTTTTAAATAATTTATAGGATAATATAAAAGAAAAAAAATTTTTTTAATCTACATAAATTAAAAAATTAATTCAAAATTATATATAAATTAAGAAAAAAATAATACATTTATCTTATATTTTATTATAAATTTTTTTGAAATATAATTTTATTTACGATTTATTTTAATAATATCCATTTAATTTTATTGTTAAATCAAAAAGATAAAAAATATAATCAAAATTATAAATCATTTCTCGATTAAATATATATCGTTACGAGATTTGTATACAATACGGAATGGCACGAATCGAGGCACGAGAAATGACAACGAACGGTTGTCATTCATATCCAAAATATCGATTTAACGGAGTCGTGTTCCGGACACGGAGCGGTACGGACGTGTTGCTCTCTGCTCTCCTCGTAAGAATATTATACTATTTAATAAATTAATTAATCTTGTATAATTAATTATAAATTAATTAATTAACAATCGTAAAAATGATAAATAAAAATTATTTAACGGACGCGATAATATACATTCCGACAATAACAAATAATAACAACGCATAAAAATACGATTATTATTTTTTTTTTTTATAAACAACG